CACAAAGCAAAAGAAATTGTTGTTTAGGAAAATAATTGTGTATGCTGACTGAATGTTATCGAGAAATGTCGAAATTAATCACAAACTACCTGTTTCGTTAGTAATGACTACTAGAACTGTTTGCATTGCCATCTAACATTTGCGGGCGGAAACTAAGTTAAGGTCCTAATACAAGGTGTATCACACGGAGATTGCTCGGTCGAATTTATACCTCTTTCGTGTGTGTGCGTATGTGCATGCGTGTGTGTATGTATGAATGGATGCATGGGCGATTGGGTGGATGTTTACAATGATAAGATAAGAGAAAGATAAGGACTGAGGACCGTCATATCACACCTACCCACCCACACACGCACGCACACACACACATACACGAAAGAGGTAAATCCAACCTGAGCAACCTCTGCGTGGTACATCTTGGATAATGTTAATGTCGACAGTATTGTAACTTTCAAATTTCTTTACTCAAAAAATACTTAATAAAAAATACATTATTATAGTACTTTGAAAAACTCTTAAGAAAAGTTACAAGAATATGCAACAAAAAGTAGAAGGCTCCATTTAAAAAATTCAAGTTGACTTTGGTGTGATCCTAACGCCTCCATCCAAGGTCAGACAAATTATAGCGTTTTATGGCACCCTTAAAACTCTACAACTTTTATATTAAACATTTTTTCGTAGAACGTATATTTTTAAAAATATTGAAGTGGGAAGTTTTAAAATAAATACCCTGTATACAGGATGTCCCATCACTACCGCATTATTTCTTAAGGGCGGATTCCTGAAGTAATTTGAATAAGAAAATCCTAATACAAAAATAGCGAGACTATAATATTTTTCAAATTGTAAACGATTAAAGTTGACCAATTATACTAGCTAAAGTACGCGCGTTTAGGTACGGTACAACACACAGTAGTACAGGTGTATGCACACGTCGTCCCTTTTCTAAATATTGATACGGAAGTTCTATACATACAACAATATATGTAATAATAATCTGCCTTTTCTATCATTTAAATAAACATATCGCAAATAATAACAATCTCGTCAAAATGTTATGAATAAAATATCACAAAATACATTTATAAGAATCAGTAAACTATTACATATTTGACGTTTCTTTCAGGGATTTACAACGAATTTCATATCTTATGCAAATTCTCACTTATGTGCATGCACCTGTACCATTGTGTGTTGTACGATACCTGAGCACGCGTACTTTAGCTAATATAATTGGTCAACTTTAACCGTTTATAATTTGTAAATGTATTATAGCCTCGACATTTTTGCATTAAGATTTTTTCTTTCAAATTATCTCAGGAATCCGTCCTTATGAGATAATGCGGTAGTGGCGGGACATATATATATATATATATATATATATATATATATATATATATATATATATATATATATATATATA